AGGATGGCAGATCCGAGGCCATGGGACTAGGATACATTTTAAGAAGGTAATATATTATCATTGCAACATTTACTCTGTTGTGATACTTTGTGCATCGTGTCTGCGGCGCCCGACAAGCGCATCTAGAAATTCTAACACAGCATACACCCACCGTGCAAAGCAGTTGCGCCTCATGTCTGTGGTGAGAGCGGTAATTCACTTATGAATGGAGTGACCAAGGTTTTCCTAGGAGGTGTAAGTCTATCTGCACTACCTAAGACATAAACTCACATTAAGATTTAAGATTTATTCCTGCGGGGGTGGTAGCACAGACTTACAAGTCATTGACATATTTTACAGTTTAAATCACGAGCATGTATGGTGACATAGAGGTGAACCTCTTATACTTGGCGCAGAATATCGTTCCTAAAGAATAACAGCAGATGATGGGCTGTGCATGCTTAAAAAGAAAAAACGAAGCCACTATTTTGGCGCATACGCTGAAATTTGGAAACGAAGTGCTGCAGAAAAGCATGGTCGATTAAAATTTGTTCATGTATAAACTGCTAGTGAGAGACATCGAGATTCCTCCCACTGCAGCAACTACCATGAGCGGAATTATCCAAGAGTGGTTGGTCATGCATCAGGAACTGTCTAGCTCACCAGCCACATTAAAGAATCTGATGATGCAATTGGTTGTGCCTTTTCGTGGCTATGCATATACGTATTTCGATGATATGTTCGTAGTTGCGCAGAGGGCGGTAAATCGGATATATAGAGCCATATAAATATTTGCAAGCACTGCTCAGGGGTATGTGCCCTTACAAGCTATCGCCAAAATAGACGAATGTGTTTTTGGCGCAGACAAGATCTCTTCCCGGGTTGTTTTATATAGAAGCATGATCAAGGACAATATAGACTGAACCTTGCTTGTGTCCTAAAGGGACATATCGCCAGTTCTTGAGATCATACGCACAATGTACGAGTCGGATGCAACATGTGTTGGGCTGCTATACGATTTGTGAAGCAAGTCATTCAGCAGCTTAGATACCGGTATATCAAACACGTGATTGCCTATTTATCTCAGGCGGTGTGGATTCTACCACTGACCCCTAAGAAACTCGATGTGTGTGGTATCTCATGATGAGGACATCATGTTCAGAATAACTTTCATGGCGAATATTCCCCTTTGGGTTGCCACATCGGTAGATATGGATAGAAAGCTCAGTGAGGCTATGTATGATTACCCCTCCATGTAAAAGTGCGTAGGCATGACCGATCTTACGTGTGGAACGTGTCAACGTATTAATTTTGTCGAATGCGCCGGCGCCTTTGGCCAATTTGCAAAACCCAGTAGAAATTTATAATTCATATATATCGTTTAATTTTTTAACCTCTCAAAAGACGCGGAAAAAGAGTTCGGTAATGCCAGCAGAAAGGTCTGTGTAGACCATCTGAGTAAAATGGACATATTGCTGCTATCAGCTATACCGTTTCGGTTCGGATACAGCCAATTCGTTCTGCGACAAAGCTTTCGTCAATAAGACAAGGCGGTGGCCAACGCTTTCCATTGAGATTTGCGCTTTACAGTAAAATATCGGCAAATGTGTTTTGGTGGTTGGCACCAAATTGGACCATGACTACCGCTGTCTATCCCAGAGAGGTAAGTGGATGATTCGCATTAATTGCATGGTAAGAACAATATCCAAAGCACAAAGAAACAGCGGTGCTGGAGCTAGTTGAACAAACTGATTATGCGTTATTTCTGCGGTTATTTTCTGCCGTGCAAAACATCTCCAGCTTCATTTCATAATTCATAGATTATTAAATCTATCCTCATGGCCACCTGACACTACACCACTAAGTTACTCAAGCGTGGTGGAAAAGAAGCTGTCGATTCAATTTGACTCGCTGTATTCAGCATAGCTACACTCCGTAGCAAAGCAATAGCGTTTATTCAAGGGTATTGAGCTTCAAGCGCCGGATGTATTTTGCTTTGGAAAAAATCAAGGATACTGAAGCCAGAGGCAGGTGACACGCACATTTGCGGTGGGTAAAAGGATAATTAAAGTCGGAGATATGTCTAACCTTGCAATCTCTGCGATCTATAGACCTAGCTTCGTCCCCGCAACATTGAACCATTCATGGTCGTAATCAAAACATATCGAATCACAGTCGGATGTGAAGTACTCTGTTGAACGGAGCAGCGCCCCCACCATCGGTAGCAGGTATATAATACGATGGTGTAAGCAAAGTGAGCATACAAAATACGAGCCCGAAGCAGGACCGGTCGCATGTTTAGGCACTGTGAATAGGCGACGTGTCTCCAAATTGAAAGCCGGTTGTGATAGTCCTCCGCCTGATCTGGAAGAGCAAGAATCATCTGTTTCCACGTGGAATGGTTGGCGGGAAGGCGGGTAAACTGACGCTGTTAGTGGAAGTCATTGAAAGGATATTTGTAACCCGATAAACCATGGGATCTGAACCCCCGGTAGGCAGACAGCCCTGGCGCCGTCGCCGCATACGAGCTGACAAACTCTAAATTTACTCTCTTGCAGAAGTAGTAGCGTCGCTCGATGCGGTGCGGTTAACACTAATGCTGTCCGACTTTGTACAAAGTTGAAGGCCCGGAAGGTGTCTGTGGCGGCTGTCTTACGAGATGAGTAGAGCAAGATCTTTTTTTTTGAGCTGGATGTACGTAGTGTTGTGTATTTTGCCTGGCCGTACATCTTTGTATTTCGCATAGTCAAGCATCGTACGACGTTCCTATTAGGCGTCTGCCTAAAATTCTGGCGTGTAAAGCCATTAGACAGGTAAGCTATTTTTCGCAATGTTGACGATAAAGTACGAGTATCGTATGCGCTCTTGCCAGCTTTATCGGTTAATGTACGGTTCTCATTGCGAATGGTTTTACACGACCGCTACTATTCCGAGCGTAGTTGGTATTTTGTACCCGTGGTGACCAATTCGGTGACTGTTGGGCACGAATCTTACTGTCAATTTGAGTAGATGGCCCCGGGCCCTAGCCACGATAATGAAACGTCAACGCTCAGCAAGCAACATCAGATAAAGATAATTATGATCGGAATGTGAACGTGTGGCCGCTCATGCGCTTGTAGGTAACAAGCTGTGCTCACTCGACCCCAAACAGCCTATTAGAGACGAGCTTGGAACGTCAT